TTTTTCAGGTTTCCGGTGTCGGGCTGAGGGTTGAAAGGTTGTAAGGGTTGGCTATTGAGGGCATCGGAGTTTCATCCGTCTGGAGCGCCCTAGGAAAGGTGGGACCTTATAGGGCCCATGTAGCCATATGGGGGGTTCCGAAAATTCGGGGTACCTTAGTTTGGGGGTCCTTGTAATAAGGATCCTACTATTTAGGCTACTGTATTAGGGTCCCCCATTTTCGGGGACTCGCATATACTAGATACTCTGGCCCTAAAGTACCTATGTCAGGACTACTGTCAGGCCCTTCCATGTATATACTATATAGATGCATGGACCCTTAGGGTGATTGACATGCCAAGTATGAATGCATGCATGCTTGCATGCATGGATACATGCATGACCACGTATGTAATGAAATTTGCTTGTTGCTGATCTTGTACTCGGACCTAGAGTAGGCCCTTATTCCCTTTTTCTAGGGTTCAGGTTCCCTTATAAGCCCCTTTAAACCAAAAAGGGCACCTTTTCTGTTCCTAGGCTACTCTTGGGTCTAGTGTAAGCAGATTGATGTGCACCAGCCCAAGTCCCTAAGCCCTGAGCCTTATATACATGATCCATCTCTTTCGCTCTCTCCCTCCCTCTCTCTCTGTCTCTCCGTCTCTCTCTCCATCTATGTGTATACATATGTATATATATATACATATATATATATATCCACGACCTATCTGTCTATCTATCTACCTATCTGTCTATGTCAGTAGGCACCGTATGACCCTAATCTACAAGTCGGGCCCAAACGTTTTGATCTTAGCGACAGCCTCAGCGCTTCCAGATGGCTCCAAGCCTCTAAAACACCCTAAAGCTCGCAGCCCTAAACCCCTAAACCCTAAACCCTAAACCCTAAACCCTAAACTCTAAACCCCAACCCCTAAACCCTAAACCCTAAACCCTAAACCCCAAGCCCAAAAGCCCGAGCCCCTAAGCCCTAAACCCGCAACCCTAAGCCTTCACTAGCTGCGATTCCTAAACCCAAGCCGACCCTGAGCCCAAAGGCTCGGTATCTGGTGGTGGCGACGCCGCACAAGAGGTGCTCTAGGGTATCGGGTTTATAGTTCAGGGTTTTGAGGGTTTAGGGTTATAGGGTTTTGAGGGTTTAGGGTTTTAGGGTTTTGAGGGTTTAGGGTTATAGGGTTTTGAGGGTTTAGGGTTTTAGGGTTTTGAGGGTTTAGGGTTTTAGGGTTTTGAGGGTCTAGGGTTGGCATAAGATTCACGGCTTGAGGCGGGGTTCGATGCATGAGAGTTCCAGAGCTAGCTTTACAAGAGGCAGGGTACAGTAGTTAGGATTCAAATCTGACTTTCAACAACTGCTAGGCTTGACATCCTGATGATGGCGCAACTAGCTTCGCTTGCCCGCATGTTTGCAATCCTGCGCCATGAACAACCCTCGTCGCCACCCCGTCCAAATACAACTGCACTCCCGAAGCATTTACTTACCGCAAAACCAAATCCATGGCGGACTTGCCAGGCAATCCACAGAGTTATTAACAACTGTCGAGGATTAGTTTCCAAAAAAACACTTTTGTCGAAGTTGGGTTTGCAAACCCAGCAGGTTGGAAGCCATGCTTGATGGCGTTTCCTCAATGCCCCAAAAGAGCAACCCTAAACCCTGAACCCTGTGTTAGACGGCTACTTGGAGGTTCATGGGTAGTTATATGTAGGGTTATAAGTAGGGTAACCATACTTATAACCTATCTTAGGGGAGTTACAGCCCCACTAAAAACTACCCATGAACCTCCAGGTAGGCCCTAAACCCTATACCCTTATAGAATCACTATAGATCCCTTTATTAAAGGAACCCTTAACGTAACTCTTATAACTCCAAGTAGGCGACCGGTCACAAGACGTCACTAGTGGCCAGGCCGATGATCGACTCTTAGCTGAAGATGAAAAATTCTGTTGCCACGGTTTAAGCTTGCGGTGGCAGCTTTGATTTTTTTTGGACGGGGGGGAAATTTGGGGAAGGGTGGGGGGGGGGGGGTGGGGACTTCGATTCCAGCGTAGGTTGACGTGGGGCATGATCCGTATCAGTGTGGTTTGTTACTTCACCGCGCTATAGCATAAGTCACCCGATTTTCATTGTGATTCGACCTACAGTTGCCAGCAAGACTTTAGCTTGAGATACCCCAACTGCGTGAGGTACTTCCAACTTGTCTGCATGAGGTTTCGCATAGGACGTGAGAAGGAAGGCAGCTTGTGGAAGCGATGCTTTTCAGCCAGTCCTAAACTCCAATTCTTTCTAGATGTCTAGATGACAAGGATGCTCAGATGGGCTGGAACCTTTGCGACGAGATCCTTCGCGAGCGCGTCCGCCTGCGGCAGCTTGTCTGTTCATGTTTCAACGGCACACCCTAAACCCTAAACCCAAACCCTCGCTCTCAGGATCGCAATCATCATGTGTGTGTGTGTGTGTGTGTGTGTGTGTGTGTGTGTGTGTGTGTGTTTGTGTGTCGTACTTTTTCAGGGATTGAAAAGTGGACCCAATCTCTGACAAGTCCCCCTCCAGCTCTTGCACTAGAGCGGCTGGAAAAAGGCAAGACATGGTCCTCCAAAACCAATCCATTGCTTCCCGATCCCGAAGAAGCCGTCAAAGTAGAGCTAGGGCTCCCGCACCTTGGGCGACTATGCTGCTGTGCACAGTGGACACCTCCAAGGTCTAAGGATACCGAAGTGTCTCATAGACCCCTTTAAAGGAATCCTATTCTATTTTTTAAGGCTCTCTGTTTGACTTTTTCTCCACCTTACCGCTAAGATCGACAGGCCAGCGCTCAGGATCTCTCGATCGCACTCTCACCCTAAACCTTGCCAAACGGCGACGCGGCGATGGTGGCCGGCTGCAGGAAGTCAGTATCTAACCATGGGCGCACACGAGAAACTCCGACCAAAGTGCCGCGAACAAGTTCCTCCGAGGGGGTTTAATTACTTTTAAGGTAATTACAGGGTGTCCAGACGAAGTTACACTCCAAGTCTACGCCTGCCTTCCAAGACGGTTCAGGTCCCTGTAACCTGTGAGGATTGGGATGTGAAACCCTTGTCATACCACCCCGTGCAGAACTAAGAGCCAAGTGTTTGTGGGGGTTCTGGGTAGTTACATACTGACTGTTAATAGCTAAAACCGAACTTAACCCTAGCGTAAACTTGCACCTCGTGTGAGGCTTTACAGCTCCTTGCTTCTGGAGCCTTGGCATGAGATGTGTATGTGGGTAGTTCTCTAAATTGGGGCCCCTTTGGAGGGTCCTCCAAAGGAATCTAAAGCTGTTTCAATATAAGGGTACTATATGGGTAGTTCTCTAAACCACTGACTCTGAGTAGGTAACCTTTAATCTCTAACCTTGTATGCTTTACACTACCGAAACTCAAAAGGTTAATTTTTTGGGGGCTAGGATACTCAGCCCTAAGAAATCAGGGTCCTTTTGGGTGTCCTTTCAAAAGGGTGCCGTACTATCTGGGAAGCTAAAGAAGGGGGCCCTCATTTAGAGAACTACACATGTAGGGGTACCTGAAGTATACTGTAGACCTAGGGCTCAAAAGGGTTCCTATGTAGTTAATATACGGCCATAATTTTCGTACCTACCATTTACGTGAATACAGTATTGTCTACAAGGGTGGTTGTCAAGATGATGGTCCTTTTTTGGGTCCCTTATATAGTACGGCACCGAATGTTTAGGGTACCCAAAAGGGGACCATAATTTTGACAACCACCCACATGGATGGGAACTAAGCGGGGAATAGATTGAGGAATGCTTGGAGGTGCATGGGTAGTTATAAGTAGGGTTCCTTTTAAAGGGATCTATATAGGGTTAAAGGGTTTAGGGTAGTTATAAGTAGGGTTATAAGTAGGGTAGCTTTTCTTATAACCCAAATAAGGGGACTTATATCCACACTTATTACTACCCATGAACCTCCAAGTGAGTGTGTTCAGGGGTGGGTTCAGGTTGTATAGGTTTAAGGTTTAAGGTTTTTGGGTCACGTAGTTTAGGGTGAGTAGCCTCTCTCGGCAATCTCTTGGGTACGACCCCCACTCAGAAATAGTTGAATAATACTCATAATATAGATATATTAGGACCTTAATAGTAGCCCTAGTATAGACTCTTACTGTATGGTGGCAGTACCTAAGCAATCTCTGACTCAGGACGAGCTCACCGAGACCTAGCCTCCCCCGCAGCACGAGAAGACGAAGACAGAGGCTGCTTTGCGGCTGAGAGTCTTAGTGGCTACTTGGAGCGGGACTTAGTAAGTAGGTTGTAAGTAGACTTATAAGTACCCTAAAAGGGACCCTAATTGGGGTTATGGTACTTATAAGTCCCTAAAATAACCAGTTACTAAGTCCCCCGACCCTCCAAGTAAGAGTCGTAGAGATGCCAACAAAAACACCTGCCCTTGACAAATGAGGGTTATGATTTGAAACCCTGTGGAATCCACATACAAAGGCTTTGAAGAAGCACTAAAGCCCAAAGATTGAAGCATAGACATTTAGCCCTGCTTTCTCTGCCTACAGCTGTGGGCTTTGAAGACTCCGCCTAGTCCGAAGGCTTGTTTTTGAAAAAGGTAACACACCGCAATCAAAGCCTTGCGTGTATGATGTTTCCAGGGTTTCAGGCACATTGTTCGTTACATGTCCCCTAATGTGTTGATAAACTGAATACATGCTATGTTCGAATTTCGGGCCTAAGGTTCAGCTTCTTTTGTTTAGGGTCCGGATCAGGGCCTAAGCTGAAGCTTTGCTGGTAGAGGTTCAGGGTTCCGGCCTGGGTGGCGGGTTCAGGCTTATTGTCTCCATGGCAGTTCCTTTTTGGGGTTAGCTTCTAGGGTCCTAAATATGCTAATTAAACCTAAATGAGGAACTACAATGGAGACTATAGGTAGCACTTGTAGTAACCCTTATAGAAACTTGTTGGTAACCATTGTAGTAACTCTTATAGAAACCTTATAGCAACCCTCAGATAGAGCAGGAAGCGGCATCCATGTGGTCACCAGAAGTTCGCAAGTTTGTCTACGAGGAGACCTTGCTGCCGAATAGATGTGCAAATGGCTCCTTTCAGGAGTGCCAGAGTTGTTTTTTGTATCTTCCTGTTCCAATTTGGGGATACTGAAGACACATTCACCACGACTGTCCCGCAGATGCGGTGTTTATTAATCTTGCAGTCAGGAATGCCCCAGCTAACTGGATGACACATCACACGGCACTGACTCAAAGACGGCGACAATGCTGGAGTCTACGGCCTCCACGAGCATACTTGGACCCAACGCCCATGAACCTCTTGAGCCCGTTGGCTGGGCTTGCCATGCGTTGCGATGCGATATAGTAGCGACAACAAACGTTATCATGGTTACCTTAAGCCCTAACAATACAAAGACATCATTGATATCAAGACATTCTTGTGTCGCGAGTGACTTCTTCGGCTTGCCTCTTGGCATGGCATGCAACACTGAGAACCCACGGTGGAAAGTAGCGGAAGAGGAGGAGGAGGAGGCAACGGAGAAAATTTCTGAAACGAGGGTCTTTTGAGTGCGGACCCCCTCAATTAGGGAAGGGCAACTCCTCGTGTTTGTAATATAGGGGCCTGAATAATTTCCTACTTTGGGAGCATCCGTATTATAATTCTAGTATAATGGTCGCCAAAATGTTATTCTAATTATTAAGGCCCCTATATTATAGCAGCCTTTTGGATCCGTTATAGTAGCCCTCCTATTCTAAGTATTAAGGCCCGTATCTGATTCACCTCCAAGTGGGAGTTTCCGACAAAAACAGGGGGTACCTTATTTAAGTCCTTAGAAGAAGGATCCTAGTATTTGGAGTACTGTATTAGGGTCCCCTATCTTCGGAAACTCCCAAACCTAAACCCTAAACCCTAAATAGAACCCTTATAGATCCCTTAAAGGAAACCCTTAAAGGGTCCCCTATCTTCGGAAACTCCCAAGTTGCTACCGAAGATTTTGTAGACCCTAAACCCTAAACCCTCTGGCCTCCTCGGCCCCTCTTCGGCAGGAGAACTCGACGGCAACATCGGAGAGGTGCACAGGCTACTTGGAGGTTCACGGGTAGTTATAAGTAGGGTTAGAAGTGGGGTAAGTATACTTATAACCCATATTAGTATACTTATAACCCATATTAGTATACTTATAACCCATCTTGGTATACTTATAACCCATATTAGGGGACTTATAAACCCACTTATAACTGCCCATGAACCTCCAAGTAGCCTTTTCGACCGAGCACTGCAGTGTAGCGCAGCTTGCGATCATGCGGGGAAGAGCCTTCCTCCAGCTCCTGGGATGCTCCGGAGAGCCGGTAGAAGCCGGAATATTGGCGCCATGATTCCTTAGGGCTCCATGTATATATATATATATATATATATATATATGTGTGTGTGTGTATCTATATATATATATAGATATATATCTATTATGATATACCCTGAGACTCTATTCTAAGCAATCAGGCAGGCCCCTATATTATCTCTTCCATTTCATCGAAGCTTTGAACCCCAAAGCTCTAAAGCCTGTCATGGTGTAGAATCTTTTTGTGTAAAACTGGCTTGTTCATGCCAGAACTGTTATTGTAATGGTTTTTAGGTTTAGCATATCTTGTACATGATTAGAAACCAAAAGCACTAAAAATCCCTAAACCAATGCCATCAAGGACCATATTGGTAAAGCCTAAAGCCCAAGCCTCGGAAAGACGCCCCCCCCCCCCCCCCCCCAAAAAAAAAAAAAAAAAAAAAGAAAAAAAAGACGCCTGCTTGCGAGCTCCGAGCTCCGAGCGTCGCGAGGATCTGAGCCGAAGGCCCAGTTGAAGTTGTGCAAATTCCGGATTCAATGCGATGCAAAAAGGGGGCGAGTGTAGGATTTAGGGCTTTTGGGGTCTGGAGTTTTCCCTCAGGGTTTCGGTGTTTCGGGGTTTTATCAGCAGTACAGAGGGGGTTTGGTGTCAGGGCCTAGGTTCTTCGCCTGTTAGTGTTTTGGGGGTTTATCGTTTTAGGCCGCAGGCTTTTGAGTTTTCGGGTTCCGAGTTGTTGGTTTTAGGTCTTGGGATTCATGTCTCGCACGAATATATGAGCCAGGACCTAGGATTTATCTCAAGGTTTTCATGGTAAGCGTGATCAGCCTCCTGAGGAGCGCGAGTGGGTGCACATACGTGAGGGTTTGGCTTCAGGACTTGGAGCTCATTTGGAGTGGAGTGGTGGTATATTTAAGCCCTATACTTGGAGGTTCATGGGTAGTTAGAAGTGGGGTGAAAAGTAGGGTAACTATACTTATAACCCATATTAGGGGACTTATAACCCCACTCATACCTACCCATGAACCTCCAAGTACTCTTATCATACCCATTACAGTGGGCCTTACAGCAATCCATGGCTTTGGGTCTCGGCCCTGAGTGTTGTCTTGCTGCAGCCAGCCTATAGTAGAAGCCAGAAAGTTGGAACATGGCTTTAGGAGGATTAGTGCTAGGATCCCCTATATTAAGGCCATGAGGATAATGATGTTCCAACTTTCTGGCTTCTACTGTATAGGGCCTGACGAGAGCCTTGAGGGCCGACCGCTCAGATTTTGAGGCCTGCTGCAGCGATTCCCGCAGATGAGGCAGGCGAAGGCCATCCCTGTCGGTTTCGCTATTCGGTGGTACCAGGACGAAGCAATCGGCCTTTGGAAAGTTACGGCGATCCGGATCTGGAAAGAGTCTGAGGAAGCAGAATTTGCAGCTTCCGACGAAGGGTTGCGACGAGGATCGCTGGCGCCAGGTTGGCGAGGGCAGTGGGCATGTTCTCGCCAACGAGAGCTGAGGGTGTTTAGGGTCGAGGGGCCTGGGGTTTAGGCTCAAAGAAAGGATGTAGAGATTTGGGGTCTAGGGTTTCGGAACTTGGGGTTCCGGGGATCGATCGTATGGCTATTTTTCCCCCTTTCTGCTCTCCTAGGATGCCCCGGAGTACCCTGATTCCCTTTTTGTAGTCCTAGGTTCCTTATCAAGTTACTAGTTACCCAATACCAAACAGGGAGCCCTTTTTATTCCTAGGTTACTGGGCATCCTAGTCTCTGTTTGGATGAGTGCTGTTTACGACCAATGCCCCACCCAGGAATCAATGCACCTCCATGGCGAACACGCTGGTTGTGCACCTGGGCTGCTTACCAACTTGGGATCACCACGTCTGAAACTCCAGGAGCCCGAAAAGCCTTGCCTCCTCTCGGACGGCCATCCTTAAATTCAGCAAGGCTCGAATGCTCTCATACCCGCATCACGAGAGTTCAATGCAGGCATCTCATGGCGTTCTCTAAACTCTTAAACCCTAGACCCTGAACCCTACAAACGTCCGTATCCTTCATGAGCCGAGTTGCTATCGCCCCTCACCCCCGCCCCCCCCCCCCCCGAGATAGAAGGATCCTTGCAAGGACTCTTACAAAGAACCCCGGACTTCTCGGCCCTAAAACGTTGGCCCAATGTCTTGAGAAACAGAGCTTTTCGTGTGAATGTTATTAAATCCGGAGTTTCGTCTACTGGGCCCCGGTGCGGAGTTTGGAGTTTGGGGACTGGGCGGGGCTTCTCTTCTACAGCCTATGCTTATTACCGGATGATAGTACCCTTGTGTCCTTTTGTTTTAGGTTTCCCTTATGAGAAACCGAATAATTATCGAAAAGAGTGCACCTTTATTATTGAGCGGACTCTGGGGGAGTCTAGAATGTACCTGCAGTCTCCATTGTAGTTCCTTGCTTGGTCACATGATGGGTCCTTAACTCAATTCTTGTTAAGCCAAAAAAGCAACTACGGTGGAGACTATAGGCAGTTCTCGTCGCCGGGCTGGTGTAAAGGGTAGGGCTCTCCCGGGGCTTCCAAAGAAGCGATTTGCTGAATCATGATGGAGATGTGGTTTAGAGTTGGAGGGGGTGAGGGGTACTTACACCTTAAATCTTAGCCCCGAACCCTAAATCCTAAACCTAGATTATTTGGGTACCTAGGACCGTCTCCTTCATGTGCTGCTGATACGAAGATGTCCTAGTGCAGGCCTTGTCTTAGTAGTAGGCTAGGTAATTTTTAACCTTTGAAGGTATTATATTCCCTTGAAAATCCCAAAGGTTAGCCTTTAGTTTCCTAAGATCCTGGACAAGTAGGCTGTTATTCGATGTGGTTCGAGCAATGGTGCCGGCCGCTGGCTGTTTGTTGTGACGAAGACCGCGATGACCACCGCTAGCATGGGTACTGCAAGGAATAACCCTAAGGCTCCAGATGCCGATATAGTACATACTCTGGAAGGTATTACATCAAGGCCTAGGCGTATACCAATGACATGAGCACATTGAGCCTTACGGATAAGCAGGGGATCCGAAACCAGGTGTCGGAACTCAATTAGCATCCAATCCACTGGATTTGTGTAGGGCAACGTTCAAGGTTTGGGTTTTTAGCCTAAGTCTCAAGTCCTACACGTTTGCAAGCCTAAACGCAAGTCCTAAACTCTTTAAAATCCTTACACCAAAGTCCCTGAAATCCTAATTCGCTGGCTTGCCATTGTCGCTGAAAGCATTGCTTTATCAGGTATGCGCGGCTTTACTACGAAAGCTTCCAGACGCGCACCATCCGCACCTATGAGCCTGGCATTTGTGGTGTATGGCCCGTATGGCGTCTGCTCGAACCCTGCCCCGTGCAGATGTGCACCCAAAACCCTGAACCGAAAGTCTTAAATCAGTATTGCGACAGGGCTCGTTTCGCCAAACTCCTTGCACTGCATAATACCATTAAAGTATATCGTGTCTTTTCGAGATCCAATTGTTGATCTTACACATCTTCAGGGGCTGCAGTCTCGGCGTTAGGATAAACTAGGGTATGAGATCACGATATCCGGTAGCATGCGTCACGCCAATAGACTCAAAGGTGGACTTTTGCTACAGGTTTGGGGTCCACAGAATCACGCAACAAAAACACAGTGGATAAGCATATAGTGTGTGTTGGTGCATAAGATATATGTGCATGTATATTATATGTGTGCATACATGTAGAAACTGTGTATCTGTGTATCTACACACATACATAAGCGTATAAGGTTGGCATCTTGGAGTTTTACTATTTCACATGTTATTTCGAAACAGTATATGTGTGAGCTAGACTATTTGAACAGTTGGTCGCTCTTCAGATATCAGTCCCGGAGCCAAAGGCCCGAGCATCCTAAGCCCGAAGTGCTTGAATTGTGTTGTGTTTAGTGTTGTGTTTGGTACTTTGATTTTTGGTTTGACCATGGAAATCCAAGTAATATGATGGTAGTTACTACTGCTATTACTATCGTCACTTCTATGATTATGACCAGTGACTAGCATTAATGTTAATTATTGGTGTTATCATTACGATGATTTGCCATTGTACAACAGGAAGCCCGCCACCCCGAAGACTTTGTTCTAAAGAAGTCCCGTAGACCAGACGGTGAGCTTCAAGACCACGTAGCCGCTTCCTTAAAGCCCAAGTTCTCGAAACGCTCTGGAACACCTCCTAACCCCCAAACCCCTTAAGCCCTTAACCCTGAAAGCCTTTACCGCTTAACCCCTAAACCCTAACCCTTGATACGCAAGACCCTAAAAAAAGCATTGCAAGGTTCCGTGTCGATCCCTACGGCCTGACTTACCAGCAAGGCCAGAGGGGAGGGGGTGGGTGTGGGCCAGGGCGATGGTTTTGGGTATTTTGGGTTTAGGGGTTTAGGGCTTAGTGTTTGGAGGCTCGAGATTGTCATACGAAGTAGATTTAGCGCACTGTCGCCAACTATGACTGGGTTCTGCATCCAAAGTGCTTCCACCGCCACCACAACAAATGCAGCGCCTGCATCGCGAGCGCCACCACCGCTTGGTTCCTAATCTACAAGCCCGGTGAAAATTCCATTCTAGAGTCTAGAGGCCTTAGCAGAGAGGGATCACCTGGGCCCTACTTCGAATTCAGGAGTTTACGGCTCATGGCATGCATGTTTCGGGGTTTAAGGTCTCCGGAGCTCAAGTGTGAAGTTTCCGAAGGCCTCGTAGCCGAGTGGGCAACCTCTAACCGTTTTTGGGTAGTATAGTCCCTATATAAGCCCTGTATAACCAAAAAGGTCAACCTCCAGTTTCCCAATGATCCCCGACAAGTAGGAAGGGTCCACGGTTTAGGGTTTAGGGTTTAGGGTCCACGGTTTAGGGTTTAGGGTTTAGGGTTGTATTTCAGGGCCAAAATGTCAACTATCTGGCACATAGATTCTTCGGGGATTGTTGCGGCTTCCACGCACATTTTGTGTGGATGCGCGGCCCTTGCAGAGCACGGGGAGCCTAAACTCTATGGGGGGGGGGGGGGGGTAAACGGTCCTTTACAGGCCTAATACTCTTCATGATATATGAGACACCCTTTTATGTCGGGTTCGCCAGAACTCCCTACACCCCGCAGTTGCCAAAGCAGCCCAAAAGGCTAAACAAACCCTGGCCCTATGTTAGATCCTAAGCCCTAAACCCTAAACCCTAAACCCTAAAAAAAAACACACCCTAAACTCAAAGCCCTAAACCCTAAACCCTAAACCCAAAGCCTTAGTGACACGAGGGGTGATGGGAGCTAATGGGTCTCATCGATCTCCCGCTTGTGGCAGCATACCTATAGTCTCCATGGTAGTTTCATTTTGGTTCACCAGTTTTATGGCTGGGATCCTATTAGAACCATGCCTCTAGTCTGCATTTTAGCTTCATTTTGGTTAACAAGTTTTATGGTTAGGAACCTTTTATGTAAAGTTTGTTAAACCCAAAACATGAACTACAATAGAGACTTTAGGGTAAACTCTAATGCTGGCGTCCCGAATAACTTGTAAATTGTAACGGGATCCCTGGGTTTCATCCCATATATAAGTATACGGTTGACAATTACACAAACGCCCGAAACTTGGAAACCCAATAGCCTCAACCCTTGTAAGAGTAATGTATAGGGAATCCCAGCACTCTTTGGCCTTAATTTATGGGGTTTACAGTGCACTAAAGGCATCGACCTGGGGTCCTTATTTAAGGCAACCTATAAAAACCAACTGCGCCACACAGGTCCCCAAAACCCCCCCATAAGACCCGAAGAGGAGCGGGTCTCTTCGTGAACGCGAAGATCGGCGACTTGCTAGGGTGCGCCGCTGTTCTGGGTTTCCAAGCGGTTGCGGTTCGGGTTTGCGGCGATGATACGATGAGAAACCAATCCTTGACAGCTGGGTGAGTACACTTTACACTGTATAGGATAAGACTGTCCCTTTTAATGAGCTGAAAGTCTGCATTTTTTGGGGCTTGTGAACTCAGCAACTAAGAACCTATCCTTTGGGAGGTACTATGCCGGATATGAAGATCCAATATCGGCGTACCTGCTTCCACGGAATCTTGGCTACGGGCCAGATGGTTTCCGCCAAGTAATGGCAGTTCAGGGGCACGGCCAAGATGCTTCCCCACAAGTACCTATAGTCTCCATTGTAGTTCCCTTTTGGGGTTACCTTATAGGATCCTTATTATATATTTGGTTCAACCAAAAAACGGAACTACAATGGAGACTATAGCTGTTGGTGGGATTCAGAGAGTTCGAGGCCGAAAGGTGGCAATTTTTCCATTCAAGGTGAGTCTTGAATGCCCTAGGCCCGTGAACTGGACCACCCACACTCCGTCTGAAGCCCACCAGGTGAGTTCCTTGTGGTCATTACTAGTACTGCAGGGTTCTGCTTCGATTCAAGCTGCCTGCAGGAGGGTGTAGGGTGTATAGAGCTTACGAACTATAACCGACATTCGGCCAACATCCACATCTTCAGCTGCTTTGCCCTAGGGCTCCAGTTACCCAAGCAGTTCGCTACTGGGGTACATGATATGGTGAGTAACCTACTATTAAATTAGCTGGAGCCCTGTTTGTTGAGTACCGGCCCAGCTTTGTGGTTACCTGTGCTCGCCAAGGCAGTATTTGCTTCTGGTGCTGGCTTCTCCTGAGCACAGGGTCCTTTCTCCTGAGCACAGGGTCCTAACCTCCAGAATTACACATTATATATGACATCTGCGCATACTATATAGAATGTATGCATATTATACCTATATATATATATATATATATATATATATATATCTATATCTATATATATATATATATATATATATATATATATACATACATACATACATATTCCACTCAAAATCGAACTGCAGAATTTGGAGACTGCAGGGAGGAGCTTCGGAATCTTGTGCACAAGGCTCGAAAGGCACAGATCAGCCACCAGCCGAGGAAAGTCTCGTGGAACGTGGTGCGGCACTTGTGCGGGGTACAGGGGTGAGGGTCGGGGTTTGAAGTTGCAGGTTCAGGATTGGGGGCCGGATTTGGGATTCAAGGTGCGGGTGTTTCAGTTGAGGTTGTACTCGTAATGCAAGACTTCCTTCTTTCCACCACCCCGCAGCCCCCCTTTCCAGCGAATCAGAATGCTGCACTTCCTGGAGACTCGAAAATTCCTCATGTCTTCGCGTTGGTGTTTGAATTTTGGGCGAGCCCGGGGCTGCCAGGGCTGCACTGGAGACGGAGAGACAGCCCCTACAGCCGTCGGGTGTTTAGGGATTAGGGTTTAGGGTTTAGGGGGGTAAAACTTGGACTTTGGGGCTCTGGGGGTTTAAGGTTTGCTTTTGGCGGTTTTTGAAGCTTCGAGGCTCGCGGAAGTCTTCGTGCCGGAATGAGCGGCTGCTGGTTGTAGGAAGATCCGAAGGGTAAGGCAAGTAACAAGAAGTCAATGCAACAGCCATGGCATTGACAGCCAATACTGGTCATTAGGGCCGCTGAGAGTTAAACCCTAAACCCTACTTCGAGGTTCATGGGTAGTTATAAATGGGGTTCGAAGTCGCCTGATATGGGTTCTAAGTAGAGTCACCATACTTATGACCCTACTTATAGCTGCACATGAACCTCCAAGTAGCCCCGGCGCAGGTTCCAAGTTGAGCTGGAGTCCGACATGAAAAAATGAATCCGTCCCAAGTTACCCAGAGGCCCCAAAGTAGTTCCTTTTTCGGGTTCATATATAGAATCCCAGAAAGGAACTACTTTGGGGCCTCTGGGTAATCTACCCTAAATTCCTAAATCCCTGCTGAACCCGTCATCCCTGAAGCCCAATTCCTCCAAGGGGAAAAGGAGGGACCCTTAATCAGGACCCCTAGGTATATACCCTTAATATAGCTATTATATACCCATTATATAGCCCATTATAGGCTAGGGGTCCCCATTAAGGGTCCCTCCTTTTCCCCGTTTAATTCCTTAAGTTTGAAAAGCAGACGCTGGGCCTCCCAGTGGGCCCTTTTTCGCTTTTTGTAGTCCTACGTTCCCTAAAAAGTTACCCAATACCGAAAAGGGAGCCCTTTTTATTTCTACAGTAGAAGCCAACAAGTTGGAGACCCCATAGCCTCAATCCTTAAGTGTAATATATAAGGGATCCCAGCACTATTTGGCCTTAATCCGGTTTCCAGCCTTTATGGGGTTTACTGTAGATTACTGGGCATCCCAGAGCTGGGCCCCAAGGTCCGGTCCAAGACACAAGTAGAGGTGACGGCTGCCATGCGTCCCTGGCATGCACGAAGAAAGTTTCCGTGCGGTTATCCGGACCGTTCCCGAAGGGTCCATGTACTCATATAGTATATACATTGGCCTTAATGTAGGCCCTATATAGGTACTTTGGGGCTTATGTATCTCTATGGGCAGATGGATCCTTAGGGATTGATACGGTATCAAGCTCAGCTTGACCCGAATTACTGATTTCCCCATGTATCCGACACCCCCTGATAACAGCAACACTTTGGGGCCAATCCTATTTTGCATTCTGGGTGGTCCGAAGCAAGAGCAGGAGCTACAGCAGACGTAAGTCCAGGAGTAAGAGCAAGAACAAGAGCAATAGCAAAGGCAAGAGCAAGAGCTGGAGCAAAGTCAAGGGCAAGAGTAAGAGCAAAAGCGGGAGGAAGAGCAGGAGCAACAGCAACAGCAGGAGCAAAAGCCCGCGCAGTGGCAAGAGCAAGAGCCTCCAAAAGAGACAATAGAGATAAACAAAAACACACACTAGTGATAAAAACACTTTCCGAGTTTTTCTGGGGGAGAGAGGCCCCGCCCACCCCCGTTCAACATCAGAGGGAAGGGATTATAGCCTGAACTCTGTATTTTCGGGGCTTTAGGATTCGGCTTTTGGGATTTAGGCAAACCTTGCTTGTATGATTTGGGACTGGGAACTAAAGCAGACTCCTCCAGCAAGTTCGCAAGAAGATCTACAGGTATTCCTGAACTAATATATAGATAGATCCATACACAGACCGGTAGATAGACAGATGGTGAATCGGTAGATAAGACAGACGGATAGGTAGTAGTTTGATTGATTGATTGATTGATTGATTGATTGATTGATTGATTGATTGATTGAGTGATTGATTGATTGATTGATTGATTGATTGATTGATTGATTGATTGAATCATTTACTCATTCATTGATTCATTGATTGATTGGTTGACAGATTGATTGAGGTAGTATACTCGCATATATGTACACATGTATATACCTGTGCGTGTGTACATACATAGCAGAGCCATATGTGTATACATGCACACTGCCAGCGTACATGCATGCATGCTGACATACATACACACAATAAATCGGTGCATGTATGTATATATGTATGTACGTATGTACATATATATATATATATATATATACATATGTGTGTGTACGTATGTAAAACTATATGTATATATATATACACACACATGCATGTGTGCATACATACATACATATACGTATATATATATATATATATATATATATATATATTTATATACATATACATATACACATGTGTGTACATGTATATTTCGTATATATGTACTGTAGGCATACCTGTAAACAGGCATAGCTACAGGCGTATGCATATACGCTTGTGTGCTTAGATATCCATGCATGTGTATGGTAGGTGCATGTTTATATATATATATATATATATTTATTTACTTGTTTATTCATGTATATACATACTCACTCGCATAATTATAAATACCGATATATGTGCGTGTAGGCAACTGCATACACTTCTCTCTCTGTCTCTCTCTCTCTCTCTCTCTCTCCCTCTCTGTGTCTGTGTACTGGTTTGTTACTGTTTTCATTCACTTGTTGTTCACCTTGCTGTCACGCATCTTGTGCCATTGCCGAGGGGCTGGCTATGCCGATGCGCAGAACGGCTTGCTCAATGACGCGCTGGCTTGTTTTTGGAAGTAGGCCTTTAAAGGTGAAGCACTTTGCAACCTAGCCCACTGCTCCGTGAATGGTCGAGGTTTCGCAATCAGGATATCTGAAACAGGCATTTTTCGCAGATTGGCATGGGCTGTTATTTCAACATCTAGGCATATGCATGTGCACATATGCATGCCGGCGAGACTGCTTGCTTGCGCATCTGCCTTTCCGCATGCATCGCCTGCTTACCTACATGTGCGTACAGACTGATCCCCAACATTCAACCCACATCCAGAAACGTCAAGTGCTTTTTTGTCGTGTGACGCCTGGGAGCAAACACTCAGGACCTGGGGCAAATTCCCAGCCCGAAAACCCCATGCTGATTTTACAAAGCTACGATACATGTTGCACTTCAAACCAAGTGCTAGTTATGCCACGTTATATCGTGAATCGGGTATGTGTGTGTGTGTGTTGTGTGTCTGTGTGTGCGTGTGTGTGTTTGCTTGTGTTTGTTTGTGTGTGTGTGTGTGTGTGTTTGACCTGTAGCTCTTTCTTTATTGATGCGGTCTAGTTCCAACTTTTATCACTCTTGCTGCCAGGCCGGCCCGCTTGGCCGGTCCATCGTGGTGTCGAACGGCCTGGAGGCCGGAAAACAGATACGAAAGACGCCTTATACTGGTGCCAAAACTCGAAGCTTGAGGTGTTTGGGATTTTAAGGAGTCAGCACATTTGAGGTAGGGTTTGTGCTTGTCGAGCTCAGTAGTTGCAGGGCGTCTAGGACAATGCAGTGTGGGGCTTTGGTGGGTTACGGGAAACAATTGAGGCATCTAGCACTTGCAGCTCGGCTTCATATTATGCTCGGTCTGATTTGAAACGGTGTTCAATTTCACGTATTGTGTCATATAAAGAGCCCTAACTGTACATAATTTCGGGACTGTTGACATTGACGTCATGTATATATGTAGATGTGGTGGCAAAGCTGTCGTGGCCCTTGGGTTGCATTGCTTTCGGGTTTTAGAGTCTTTAGGGTTTAGGGGTTTAGGGTTAGGGGTTAAGCGGTTTAGGGCTGTACAGTCCAGGACCTACGGCTCGTGGGGTTTAGGTCTGAGTGAAGCAGCAGTACTGTTTAGGGCATAACATTCGGAGTACTGTGGTTTTCGATATTTCGGCTTGTGTTGTAAGCCCGCTTCAGAAAAGTTGACATGGGACGGAGAGCACTGCATTCTCGGAGTTCTTTCATACACTTAAAGCCTGCGACAAAACCACAGCGGCATTACTGCCTGTAATACCCGAAACCCCTAAACCCTCAATCCCTACATATAAATCCCTGAAACATTGTGGCCTTGGCTGTGGTTGTCATGTTGTTCAAGTTCTGAGCTTCAGGTTGGCACCACCTGGGGTTTAGGGTTAAGGGATGAACTCTTTTCTTTTTGCCTCCTTATGAATCAGTGTTTGGTTTTTCATGTAAAACCCAAGTAATTCTCAAGTGTATTAGTTTGTATTAGTGTTCTAAGAGGGGTATAGAATGACCTTTCAATGTTTCTGAACCTTAAGCGCAGTGTTTGAATCCCAGCCTACCCTTGCACGGTCCTCGAAACACTCGAACTGCGTGATAAGTTTCTCAACATCGCAAGGTGCTGCAGCTCACGGTTTCGGCTAGTTTAGTTATCGGGAAATCTTAATGATTGAACGTGCAGAGAGACATCCGCCTCCAGGACCCCAGAGGACTTCAGCCGCGCACCGTAAAGCTTAAAGCCAGCAGCCCTAGACCAGCCCTCTCCAAAAGGTTCGAGGTACTGTTCTGGGGGACACTTTCCCAAACCATATTCTACTATAGAGGTACTTTGGACCCTTTCGGCGAAGCTACAAACCCTGAATGCCACCCCATCTTCGAAAACTTACATTTTGCGCAACCTGGGAAGCCCAAGACCTCAATTGCAGGACTTGGGGTCCTACACCAAGTATCAGGGCCGGCGCTACGTGACCGAGTTCGATTGGCCTGCGGCCTCAGCAGGGCTATTGCACATGTATTGAGCCCGAAGCCCTAAACCCTAAATCCTAAACCAAACCCCAAACCCTAAACCCCAAGCCCTAAACCCTAAACCCCAGACCCTAAACCCTCAACCCTAAACTAAACCCTAAACTAAACCCTCAACCCCAAACCCTAAACGCTAAACGCTAAACCAACAGTGCAGGCTTCATGGCAGAGATCTGACATGCCAATCTCTTTCTTAGAGTGGGGGGGCGGGCGCATAGACCCAGAGACTCCAAATATCCCTTCGTTAAGGAATATAGTAGGATCCCTAATTATGACATCAGGTGTATATATATATATATATATACCTGATGCCATAATTAGGGATCCTACCATAATTTCAGGTACAATCCGTGATTTTGGGATATTGGAGTCTCTGGGGACTTAGATGCCGCCAGAGGGCTCGGGGCTGATACTTCTGAGGCTCAAGATCCGACCCTTGCAGCTACAGGATTTCCCAGGTCTCCATTGGGGCAACTCAGGGAAACTGGAACTCCTGAGCCGAAGCCTTAAATAATGTAGGAACCCTACTTTAATTATTAAGGCCCCCTACACTAATCCTTATAAGGAGTCCTTATAGTGTCCCTTATAGACCTCTTCAAAGGAACCCTCTTCTAATTCTTAAGGCCCCAAAAGCCTAATGTAGGAACCCGATTGCGAAACCCTGGGTCTTTATTAGGGCTTGGGGGATATCGGGCCAGGGTTTCTTAATCAGATTCCAAGACTTAAGCCGGAAAGGGGGTCATAGCTTCCTACGTAGAAAAATCTGCGGTCTGGGTATACCCTAGGTTCTCCAGTAGTGCCCTTGTGCTCTGTCTCTTTTTTGGTTTCCCCTATCAGGGGACACTGGCGAACGGAGTACCCACTATAGTCTGACCATGGCTCCTGCACCCGATACTGGTCATCAGGATCTGCGTCTCACCGCTTAAGGCCTTGAGCTTACGGTTTCGCGAGCCGGAGTCTTGTATACACCATCGTCGTTTGGTGGCTGCCGCAAGGGTGGCGGCAGAAGCTCCTTTGAGACCCTTGCCATCGTGCGCCATACTAAATAGCCGACAGAACTGCTAAGGCGCTAGGGTTACAAGATCCCCCAGGAGCCAAAGGCCTGAATCCTGATTATTGATTAATAGTGTTCCAAAAAGCATTCCGAATGTGTTCCAGAAAAGCGTGGGGAATAGTGTTCCAGATTCGAAAGTCTTCCGAAAAGCATTCCGAGAGAGCACCCTTGAATCTGAAAGCTTCCGGCTGGAAACACATCTTGGAACACTTTTTGGAATACTTTTTCAGCAGCAGGTCATTGGCGGAACGCTTTTTTGAGAACACTTTTTGGAATGCTTTTTGGAATGCCTTTTCGGGGGCCCATCCTCTCCAGATCCAGGTCACAAGCGTTCCAAAAAAGTGTTCCGGAAAGTGTTCTGCAAAGCGCTCCGTTGGAATGCTTTTTGGAACACTTTTTGGTCAGAGGGTCCCCGTGGAACGCATGTTGGAATACTTCTCAGCTCTGCATCAAAATGAGAATGCTTTCCTCATGTTTTTCAGGAATGCTTCTGGAATGCTTTTGGAACACTATAAAAACCGATCTACCCCTCCCTTTCTTTAGCCCTCGGCATCTTGTAACGCTAGGGGGGCATTGCCGAATCTTGCTCGTGACGCCGAGAGGGCATGGTCTGAGCCGGACTCACCCTGACAAAATCTCGAAGTGCTGCGACGGCCTCTACGACATCAGGGCAGTGGCTGCAATGAGAACAACGGCAACTGCAACAGTTCCAGCGCGATAAAGGAACTAGGAGCCGTAGACACAGCACACACCGTCAACCACAGCCGTATGGATGCCGGAACCCCTGAAGGCCAGAAGCCTTAAAACCCACATGCACAGGCAACGCCCAACAAAAAGGACCTCTGGACAGCTACCCCCTGCTCTCCACAAAGACCCTGATACCAAACCCCAGATCTCTGATGTCCCAAAGCTTACACCCCTAAACCCACAGCTCTAAAATCCCAAACCTACACCCCTACTTGGAGGTTCATGGGTAGTTATAAGTAGGGTTCTAAGTAGGGCAACTATACTTATAACCCATATTAGGGGACTTATCTTATAACTACCCATACACCTCCGAGCAGGCCCTAAACCCTATACCCTTATAGAATCCCTATAGATCCCTCTAAAGGGACCCTTAAAGGAACCCTTATAACTACCCATGAACCTCCAAGTAATCCCTGCAGGCCCTTCCTGCGAGGCACGGCCTTAAACCCCGAAGTCCATGCCAGGCAAGGCTGCCGTCCGCTAGGCGAAGGGGGGCAGGCCTGTGGGCTTACGGTTCAGGGTTTGGTTTTGCGGTTGTGCTGCGACTTGTTGAATCTGCTCCCACTCTTTGAAAGCTTTCAGGGAGCACATGCCAAGGATGTGGCTATGTCGGTGATGCCCCCAAAATTCAAATTCGAAGCTTCCTGAATCCTTTTTAATAGACCGAAGAAAATCTCAAGGCGTATCGCCCAAACAGCCCTAAAGCAGAAAGCTGCTCAATCCACTCCTGGCAGCCCCACATGCTTGCCTAATCTTTCCTAAAACCCACACCATCACGAATCCTAAACCCTAAACGTTTAGCCGTCCCGGTCGTAATCAACTTGCGACTGTTGCAGTCTCTTCAATCCGACATTGAACTAGCCTGGCGTCGGGAAAACACAGTGACTTCTATGAACAAACTATTTGCTACAGACATAGGGTGAAAAGCTCAAGTCACACAAAGATATTTCCAAGCTTCAAGACGGTTTTGTGCGGAGTGTAATCAGGAACCCACAACGCCTCCAGACACAAAGTTGTGGGGTGGGAGATCCCTACCGTATCGGCATAGTTAAAGAGGTGTTTATATATGTCATGACTCAAACTTATGGTTTCTGCTTGGGTGATTTTTTGTGGGCCCTGGGCGTCCCTAGTTGAATGCCTGCGGTGTCTTCGATTGATGCCGGCACTGAGGGGTACATACGTTGAATTGAAGGCGGCTGCCTCGCTCAATCTGCCTAGCTAAACCCCAACCCCGGAACACTAGACCCTGAAGCCCGAACTTAAACCAGAAAACTCCTAAACCCTAATCATCAATCTTGCTCCTGTCCTTTGAGCACGAAAATATCTTCCGACATTCTGCTGAATTGGCTGCCCTCGCTGTTGTTAGTTCTTTCTCTCGGGCCAGTCGTGTGAGGATTCGGGCAGGACTGCCAAGATGCAGGGTCTTAAACCCTTAACCCTGGATATCCTACCTTTTTAAGGACTTATATAAGGAAATCATAGTAAGGAACCCAAATAGGTAGGTTATTCAAGGTCAAGGTAAACCCCAAACCAGGAGTGCGACTTGTTCTCCTGCGCCTGGGCTTGGGTTGATGATCTGTGGCTTTCGAGACCTATCGGCAGCTCATGACATCCGCAGGTTTTAAAAAGCTGAGGAGAAGCATCCGAACTTGCGCCGTGTTGGACATGTAGCGTTGGCAGAGCTTTCTGAGACATCCTTGAGAAACTACACCAGCTCCAAAATCCAAGCTGCAGAACGCCAAAACAGTCGACCGCGACCACGTTCAAAGGATCATATCAAGAACGTCAATTCCCACCATTCTTTCTCATCCCTGTAAGCTGAGCCTGTTTTAGCACCTTTACCGCTTAGCCTGTTTAGCTCGTCTGAGCGAGAGCGAATTCGACAGTAGCTGCGCCCTACCCATGCCGCATCTGCGACAGCAGAGCCGTTGGTGGCCACCTTGCGGCATGTGACACCTCTCTCCGCTCCGCCCCTGTTCCCTAAACCATCCTAAACCCTAAGCCCTAAGCCTTTGGTCCTGTTTAAGCGGACTGTCAAAGGAATCCTCCTACTTCCCCAAGGACCTCTCAGGTCATTGACCCTGGACCCGAAACGCCAAAACCCTGCACCCTAAGCCCCATTGACTGATGTAGCATAGGGGCCGTAATAATTACCTATGCTATTTGGGGGGGGTTCCTTATTATGCCTATTTGGAGGTTCATGGGTAGTTACAAGTGGGTTTACAAGACATTTAATGTGGGTTATAAGTATAGTTACCCTACTTATAACCCTGATTATGACTACCCGTGAACCTCCAAGTGTAATTGAATAAGCCCCCAAAACCCTATTCTAATTCTTACGGCCTCTACAGTAGAGTGAGAGGGCAGTGTTGAGCCGAAGGGGTCGGTCCGAAGTGGCCGAGACAAGGACCCAGTTGAAAAACAACAAAAGCTTAACAAAGCCCTACCTACCCTAAGGGTCCATGTACCATATAGAGATACATGAGCCCCAAAGCAGCTATATACGGACTACTTTAAGGCCCATGTATATACTATATAGGTACATGAACCCTTATGGAAAGCTTAACAAGGCCCTACCTTCAGTCTCCATTGTAGTTCCTTTTTTTTAGTCCAGTCTTGTGTTTTAGCATCCTCTAGAGAGAACCCAGGAAAAAGGAACTACAATGGAGACAATAGGTAAACTCTAACCTGCATCTTCACACCGCCCAAAAGTCCCATTTATCTCGCAACTTCCCTGCAGTTCTTCCAGCCGTTCACGATGCATAATTACGCAGCAGAGCTTCATAGGATGATGCCCTGCTCAGCAGGTTTGGGAGACTCTGTGAACCCTACATGAACCCTCATAATGTAATTACCTATTTTACGACGTGGATGAGGACATCATAACCAGGAGCCCTGAAAGTTAGGTTGCACAGGATACAGATAAGCCCAAAGCGCTCTTATACTGTAAACCCCTGACGCCTGCATCGTGCCCAACGGTTTGTAAGGTAATTGAGATAAGGCAGGAAAGCCTTCAACCCTGTAAACCTTAAACCCTGCCCTAAGCCCTGAAACCTAAACCTAAGGTAGGAGCCTGATGAAGGCACTGCGGGTTCCAAATCCTTGGGTGAATAAATGTCTCCGTTTCAAGAGCCTGAGTTACCAAGAGCCATGAGCCCTATTTCCTGCCTTTCGGGAAAGCCGAAAGCCTGGTACGTTGTCAACAAAGTTGCGAAACTCACATAACCCATGGTCTGAACCCCTTTTCCAACCTAAACCCTGAACCCCTGCACTGTGTTCTTTTCTAGGCGACTGCTGCTTTTTCTGGACGTCTCGTGGCATTGCCTCGGCGATGAGGCCCTACCCCAAACCCCACTTGGAGGTTCATGGGCAGTGATAAGCGGGGTGACTTAGATTCCCAATACCCAACCTTTAAACTTGTTGGGTTCTTATGGTTTAGTAGGAACCGGAAAGTTTATCCCTTTGTTTCCGTGGCGTATTGGGGGAGCAAGTCATGGGTAGTGATGAGCGGGGTGAACAAGTCCCCTTCGAATGTGGGCTCGGAGTGAAACCCTCGGATTCTGTTTCCGGTCAAAGGTGCCTTCTATCCATTCCAGACCCTGCTCCTAAACCCCTAAACCCTAAACCTGCGAACCCTAAACCCCCAAACCCCAAAACCTCCAAACCCCTAAAGCCTAAACCCCTAGATCGAAAGGCACATTTTCCGAGGTAAAGAACCTAGTCGTAGAGTAGGTAACCTTTAACCTTTTTTGGGTAGTATAGCCCCTATACAACCCCTAGATAACCAAAAAGGTTAACCTTCAGTTCCCCTAAACCCTAAACCCCTAAACCCTAAACCCTAAACCCCTAAACCCTAAACCCCTAAACCCTAAACCCTAAACCCCTAAACCCTAAACGTACCCGACAAGTAGGAGAACTTGAAGCCTCAGGGCTTGGAGTTGATTTTGGATCTCGTGGTTCCTAGAGACTCCGATATCCCTTGATTAAGGAATACCTAGGGCTAGGGCTCCTTTTGGGGGATCTATGAGTGATCGATATGGCATTAGGGGATATTCGAATATCCCTTATAGCTTGAATTGTGGTAGGATCCCTAGTATGACTAAAGGTATTCATTAATCAAGGGATTTGTGATCTCGAGGTTCAGGGTGTTGGAAAGGACTGGTAACTTGTGCGGAGTTCACCCTTGGGTGTGTTGCAGTTGGATTTGTTGTCAGGGCTGCAAGTGCTTCTTGAGTGTATCCTAACTGTTGTTAGAGGAGGAGGAGGAGGAGGAGGAGGAGGAGGAGGAGCAGGAGGAGCAGGAGGAGCAGGAGGAGCAGGAGGAGCAGGAGGAGCAGGAGGAGCAGGAGGAGGAGGAGGAGGAGGAGGAGAAGGTGGAGGAGAATCATCATCAACAAGATGATCATTTCCAGTATCATGATGTAGCGCTGCTGATGGTGACTATGGTCATGGTGAGATGGTGACGATATTCAGCTAGGTTGCTTTGATCTGGGTTTCGAACTTTTGTGCCGAAATCAGTAGAAACCTTGTCATCCTATGCAGCATGAAAGTACAGTGCTCAGGGTGCCGGACAAGCCGCGAACGTGACGAACGAAGACTATGATTGCCAAGTGGACCCTGTGGAACATTGGTCCGAAACGAAGAAGCAGTGGTGCTGCTCGAACAAACAGCTGGGCTGCACGAAACAGGACGTAGCTCTTCAGGACAGTCCCGTTGAATCTGAACCCTTTGATTGTCGAGTAGATCCCGTCGAGCATTGGTCGCAAGCGAAGAAACAGTGGTGCTGTTCGCAAAAGCAACTGGGCTGTGCGGCAGTCGATTCCAAAGAAGTTTCGGAGCCCTTTGACTGCAAAGTGGACCCGGTTGAACACTGGTCCGAAGAGAAGAAGCAGTGGTGCTGCTCGAACAAACAGCTGGGCTGCGCAACAGAGGACTTCCTTCAGGGGGACAGTCCTGCTGAATCAGAGCCCTTCGACTGCAAAGTGGACCCGGTGGAACACTGGTCCGAAGCGAAGAAGCAGTGGTGCTGCTCGAACAAACAGCTGGGCTGCACAAAACAGGATGTAGCTCTTCAGGACAGTCCTGTTGAATCTGAACCCTTTGATTGTCGAGTAGATCCCGTGGAACATTGGTCGGAAGCAAAGCAGCAGTGGTGTTGCTCACAGAAGCAACTGGGCTGTGCAGCAGTCGATTCCAAAGAAGTTTCGGAGCCCTTTGACTGCAAAGTGGACCCGGTTGAACACTGGTCCGAAGAGAAGAAGCAGTGGTGCTGCTCGAACAAGCAGCTGGGCTGCGCAACAGAGCCCGTCCCTCAAGGGGACAGTCCTGCTGAATCTGAACCCTTCGATTGCAAAGTGGACACTACGGAACATTGGTCCGAAGCGAAGAAGCAGTGGTGCTGCTCGAACAAACAGCTGGGCTGCGCAAGAGAGGACGTCCTTCACGGTGACAGTCCTGCTGAATCAGAGCCCTTTGACTGCAAAGTGGACCCGGTGGAA